TATATATATAATATCATATATATATAGTATTATATAATATATATATATAGTATTATATTATATATATATATATTATATATAGTTGATTTCTGACCTGCAGGCGCCTGTCGCCGGAGCCTGCTCCTCATGATGGCATCCACTCTCACGATTGAAGGGAGTTGGTCAGAGTCATTCTTCAAGATTGGACATCTGCAGGTTAACACGGCGACTGCGACCAAAAAGACGGAGGCTGGGCGGTGTGATGCAACGGCCGCTGAGCCGTCTAGCATTACCGAAAGAGCTGCAAACCTCATAGTAAGAGCCTTTCGTGCAAGATTGCCGCCACATGACTACGGGTATGATACTCATGACAATGCTACTGGTTGTAGTTCTGATGAGACAGGTGAAGACAGGAATATCAAGAAGAAAAGCAAAGCAACTGCCACAGCCACAATGACGGCAAACCACAAAGGCAATTCGTAGTACTAAACGGCACTGGTCAGCAGAGAGAGATTCCCAGTGACTGGCTTGCTGGCTGCATGAAGGTGGCAACTTTTGCGATGGGCTGATTCTGGGGTCCACAGGCCTGCGTGTCCTGCAGAGACATGGTGGAGGGGCTTCGACTGTCGCATTATGGACGTGTGACAGCCACCCCTGCAGGCCCAATTTGATAAAGTTCCTGGTGTGCTGAAAACGCAGCTTGGCGGCACTTGAGCTGGGGGCAAGAAGGCTCAGGATGATTGAGATCGCCCTGTCTTTTCGTATCTTGGTTTGTGGGTTTGGTGAACACCGTCGCTCGCAAGACGTGAAAGGGGACACGAAAACTGCAATCGCGGCTCTTGGTCCTTTGCTACATCGTCCCAAAGCCGTCCTCGAACAGCAGGATGGATTCAAGTGTGTAGGAGACATTAAAAGCATAGCCTCGTTTGCTACTGTTCTGTTCCAGTGTCCAGCTCGTCGATGCACTTAATATCCTTAAGGCTTAAGATGCTACATATCCTTCAGACTCCCTAAACCCTAAACCCTAAACCCCTTAAGACGCACGCGGCCTTCAACAAGGCCCTCCGACTTAAAAGGCCGATCGGTTGTTAAACTTTGACATGCTTCGGACTGGATGGGCTACGTACTGGACTTGCTGAAAATTGCAGGTATATACTCTTTTGTATTGATCCGCATGTTCCCTTCTTGACGGGCAAGGCAGTTTTAAATGATATACAATGGCGTTTCGCGGCAAGACCCCCGGCCTTCCATCACATCGGAGTCTCTTGGTTCCAGTACACGCTTTCCTCGTCCTGGCCTCCCTTTTTTGATGTATGCTGCTTTTGTGACACCAGACGCTTAGCGAGGACTGTTGGCTATACTGGTGGGAGAAACGCGGAGCCTTCCTACGAGTCGGTTTGTGGCGGAGATGGACACACAGAGGACTTGGCGTTATCATTTGTCATTAATAGGGATATGGTTTCCGTATAGTATGTATACATATATTTGTTTATTTATTTATGTATGTACACATGCAAATGACGCTATACATATGCATGTTTCAACCAGCATACCTTTGCTCGTCGTTTGAAGGGCTTGCCAAACAGTTGAGAGTGCACGTATGTGTTTGTATATATATATATACAGATGCATATTATATGCACATACATTATAAAGTGTTCTCGTTGTCTATCGAAGAGAGTGGGGAGATTCTGCATGTGCAGGCGATTCAGATCGAGTATGACCCGGAGCAGGCCCTTGCGAGAACGGAAGTGTGGGGGGGTGGCAGGCCTGATGAGTCAAAACAGAAGAGTGCCCAAGAACTGTTGTTAGTGTTGTAGTTATCGGTCTTCTCGTTGTCACATATATATATATATGTATTAATTTATTTATTTATTCGTCTTTTTTTGTGTAGTTCAGAGTTGCCTTGGTCTTCAGACAGGTGAGTTACGATTCTCTGCTCGATTCCTTCCTCCAAGGCCGGCCCGGACTCAGCACGGCTCAGCTGGGTTCAACCGATCGAAAGAAGCACCGGGATCGCTCTGATCGTTTTATGATGACGTTTGCCATGAAGAGTAGTCGTCGTCGTAGCAACAGCAGCAGCAAAAGCAGGAGCAGGAGCAGGAGTAGTAGTAGTAGTAGTAGTAGTAGTAGTAGAAGTACCAGTACTAGCACCAGTGGCAGCAGATAGAACTTGCAGCGGTAGCAGTAGCAGTGCTGCTGCTGCTGCCGCCGCCGCGACTGCTGCTAGTACTCCTCCTACTCCTACACATGCGAATCAAGTCGATGAACGCTTGCAGGGCACCAGCCGATGCGCTCCAAAGCTCAGTGCCTTGGACCACAAGCCATTCGAGCCGTCAAGATTGCAGCAAAACAGGCGATCGTGAACCATACAAAGTATCGTAGTATAAGTGTGAAGACTTGTGAGCACATATGTACAAACATGCTTGAGTATATAAACACAAACTTGATGCCGCAGACTCGAGCTATGTCACAGTTTCTGTTTTCTGATCTTCGAGTTTGCCACATGCCTCATCTGTCTGTATATGTACGGACATAGGTACGCACACACATGTAAACTATACCGCATCATGCTTGGACTGGTCAGGAACCTTGACGTTCTCGGTGGTCTGATATCAGAAGTTGTTTTGTCTCCACCAGCTTTCCCGCAGACTCAGAACAGAGACGTTTAAAAATGTCATGACACGACAGTCCTGACAACCACAAACATACGACATGAATGAAAGGAGCAGTCTAGTTGTTATGATGGTCCGGCGATGTGGATGCACTTCGCAAGCTTTGGTTTTGGGTTTGGAGTTGTGCAACGAGCTGGCATGCGTGATGCCGCACCGTCTACACCTACGCCAGAGCGGCTTAGAATCCTTCGTCGGCAGTTTGGCATAGTATGAGATGGGATGCACGACGTGCTCAGCAAGCACGAACTAAGTATGCCCGGAACAATCAGCAGGCGGTTCAGAACTTTGGCAAGTTGTCGACTCATAGGTTACCTCTTCAATAGTGAGGTACAAGTCGGCGATTTGGTATCACAACGAGGAGCAGAGGAAGATTGCAGAGAACAGGATGGAGGTGTCTTCCAGGGCATGTGTCGGACACATCGTTCAGTACTTTCATGTACTTTCATGCATCTTCCTTGACACAGGAGACTGGGGCTGCACCGGTTGTCGATGTGGACGAGGCCAAGCCCTGGTACGATGCCGAGGACCCGAAGCGAGACTGAATCCCGCAGCTCCTGCAGCCCGCAGCCACGAAGGACTACCACCAGAAGTACTACGACAAGCAGAACTGCACAGTGATGTAAATGTTACTAATGTACATACTTAAAGCCTCCAAGACGGAGGCATAAGCAAAGAGGCCTGCACAGTACCAACGATGCTCCCTGGCAACTGGCACTGGGTGGAAGAGCAAGTGACTCGTGCTGGGGCGTGGACTGCTCCCTTTGCAGTGTAAGATAATGTTCGAGCAGCTCTACTATGAATTCGTGGGAGCCTTCGCAGCTGCAACAGCACGATGATGGCAACTTCCCCCAGATGCTTGCTACGGGAACGTTCGAGTGGTAAGGTTCACGAGTGGCTGTCTTACAACCTGATTTTAAATTGCAAGTTTTCCGACGCAACGAGCGGCAACAAGTCTTGCTGTTTGAGCAGTCGACATCCAAAATGCTTGGAGGTGTGTTGGTACAAACTTATGCAGGGACTCGACAATGGCCTGAAAATGCATGACCCAAGCAATTGAGACCTTCGATTCGGACCCAGGCCAAGTGCGAGTCGGAATTGCATGCCAAGCAGGGAGTCTAGTCGCATACTCTGCTTGGCCTTGCGACGGTAAATGTGTGACACAGCAAGGATTCTCGACATCTTCGTTGCTCGCCTTGCGGGCAGAAGCAAAAATCTAAGTTTTTAGCTGACACCACGCTTTGTCGTCCGCCTGTGGTCGGGGCATAGACCTAGGTGCTGCCCTCGCCACTTTGACCGGATTGCATGTTACTTTACCGGCCATGCATCCCCGACCGCTCCAGACCCAGCCATCGCCCCCACAGCCCCACCAGCGCCAGCCGGAGTCGTTGGCGCACAGGAGTGTAATGATGTTGAAGACGCCTCCGTGGAAGTTCTTTTTGCAGGAGTTCTTGGCACTTGCCGGGGATGTATTGGAAAAAATGGCGGTGCGTAGCCACGGCCGCCTCTAGTCGGTTCGCCGTTTGGGCCGACGCAGGCATTCACTGCACCCGACAGGGGTGCCCATTCCGCCACTGAAGAAGGGATTATTCAGAGCACCGGAAGTTGAGCGCTCTACAGCGCGCTGGTGTTGCCGATCGTTGCCAACGTGTGCGACTGCGAAAGTAGCGACAGCGGGCGTTGTTTCTAGTGAAGGCAAGCTCAGGAAGTTTCAACCGCAGTCTGTTAGTTTGAATGCCATACACACATTTTTTGCGGCCAGATTGTACGATAGCTTTGTTTACTTGCTTGCGCAAGCTTTTGTGGTACAACTGTGTCTTCTGCAAAAGAGATTGCACATCTGTTGAATATCTTGATGCATCCACCGAAGCCACCTGTGCGAAGTAAAAGCACCCCTCGGGGCAGCAACAGCATCAAAGCTGCAAGCTCGTGCGTGAGCCTGAGTTAAGGCTTGGGTGTCAGCGGCGAACTGGTAAATACCTTCAAGAAAGAACGGCACTTGCTTCCTTATCGTCAAAACACTGGATGTTATGCGGAGCGACACCATGTTTTCTGTACAACACATGGAGCCGAGTCACTGTACCATTTACTCGCTGCGTCGGCGAGCTTGCCGGTGCCAGCGACTTCGTACAGCAGTTGAGTGCGTATGCGTATGCATGGGGCAGACGAGGTCCCAGGAGTGGTGTCTGATGGTTTTATTACGTAATTGCATTGGCTAACACCAAATCAAAGGTTTTTGAATCCCGAGATTCAGGTCTTTCGATTCGTAAATTCTGCTGAGCATCGTTGAGACTGTTCACTTCCATGCAGTTGGTTGTTTAGAAACTTGGAGCCCCATATAGCCTCGTCGACACATCAGTGGCGCAAATTTGCCTGTTGACATGGCTGCATGCTCATCGTTGACATAATTGCTGCGGTGCTGTAGTCCCACCGGGCAGCACTTGGGTTGCATCATGTGGCGCGGTACCTGCGGAAACAAGCACGCTGACCTCAACAACAGTGGCTTTTACACTTCACACGGTTTCGAGTTTGCTGGGAAGGTGCTTGCGCATTAGCTCTTGGAATTTCTGTTAGTTGAGCCCACCAACACTAACGATTCGCATGTTGCTGCAGCATCCCTACAGCTTTTACTGAGTACCCACCCTGCCAGGCTAATGCTTGCAGCATCTTGTAGACATGATCATGCTTGGGATATCGATTCCGTAGCTCCCAGCCGCCTGTAGAGCAAGATCCACATGTTATCGCACTTTGGTGAGAGCTACCCTTGAAATGCAGTGGTGACAAGCGCACAGCCAAAGCTTGCTGCTGCCTTGATGACGCCTCCGCTCATCACCGACTTCAGTCGCTGAGCCTTGTCTTTTATGGTACGTCTGTATGTGCATGTACATCTCATACGTCTGTCTGTCCGTCTTTTTGTCTGTCTACATGTATGTATGCAAATACGTTTATCCCGACTGTGTGAATTCTGCCTCCTGAAGTCCTTTACATACCTGGGTGATTTCGGTAACATGTCGGCTGAGGTGTTTTGTCCGAGCACCACAGCATGTTGTTGGCCAGCGATCGTGAACTCGCACAGCATATGGTTGCACGCCAACACAAGTTCCATCAGAGTGCTCGATTGATTGACAAGCTTACACGCGGGTGCTATTCCCTTTTCTGCTTCAAGGTTGCGAAGCTATGCAGAGAAGCGATTGGTCAACGCTCTGCAAGCCTGGCTTGGGCATCCAGCACTAAAGTGCAGCTCGTCTTGTCTTTCATCGTTTGCGGGCGTGAGATGTTGTTTCCATTGGCATGGAAGGCAAGCGGTCCACGCGATGTTCCTGCTGTCCGTTGGTGCGTATGCCCCTTGCATGCATGTTTGCCTCAGCTTTCATGCCTTGAGTGCTCGATTGGGACCACAAGGCTATCGCCTTGCCAAGAGTGGCGCCCGACTGGCTCGAGGAAAACATCATTGCCGAAGCAGGACGGATAGGAAACGAAGTTTCGAAGCAGCATATGATCTTCCAGGCCCCTTGGTTGCAGAAAGCTGAGAGGTTGAGCTCTGGATACTGCTATAGTCAAGTTTGGGAAGCTCAGACAGCTCCTCGTTTCACAAGGTCGCAGTGAGCGCCGGGGACCGAGAAGTGTTTTGGTCGTCCACAGGCAGTGCGGATGCCTTCAGGTCACTGACTTGCACTGCAAAGATGAATGCTTCAGTGCACTTGAGCTCCACAGGTCCTGGCTGCTCTGAATCTGCTGTGTTCGGTGATGCTTGTCCTCGCTTGCCGAGCAGTTCGTTCTGAAGCCATAGCGAAGATCATCGAAGAGACTTGGGAGGATGCGAGATCTCATTCGCACTTCGTTGCTGTTTTGCGCGAGAGCTACAGGATTTCCATGGGACTGTTGGCCATGGTTGTGGTGATTTATGCACTTCTAAGTCGCCTGACCCGGCTGCCACATCCATTCGCTTTCGTCATAGGATGGTCCCCGGCCTTCCTCCCAGCTTGGGTGTTGCTCCAGCTGGTGACCTTCATTCGCTTGATGGCTGCTCTTTCCATGAGCCAGGTCGAGGGATTCTATTCGGAACTGGAGTCCATCGGCTTGGTGAACATTGACGGCCGCGACTTTGCCAACGTAAAGTCAGGGCACTGGCTGTATCTGCTCCGCAGGCATCAGCAACTGCTCCGAGATTTGAAGTCAATGTCCATGGCAATCTCACCGACAGTACTTGTTTTTCAAAACGTTGTGGCTGGTTCCAGCTTGTTGTTGCTGTGGGTTGCTCGTGCATGTCAACTGGACCCTTGGGCCGCCTCTGGCTATGTCCTGTTGGCCTTTACCATGGGGTGCTCTGGTATTTTCGCCATGCTGCCTCTCGCATACATTACCGACCTATGCCAGACTCGTCGCTTTGGGCGGCGATCGTTGCTTGCACTTGCGGATAAGTACAGCGGATGGCCCATGGATGAGGGTGTTCACTGCGAGTACATGCGCTTCATGCAGCATCTCAACACGTCAGAGGCAGGAATCTACATTCCTTCCATGGGACTAGTCACCCGATCGTCCCTCTCAGGGGTAATAATGCTGTATGTAAAGGTTCTCCCACTTGCACTGGCCCTAACATTGGGCTGGTGGCGGCGAGGATGAAAAGGGCAGCAAAAGTCCTTCAGACGTTCCGACGTGGCTGATGCTTGCAAGACCTCTTCCATGCGGTCACTCTGGCAATTTGCGGCTACACGATTTTCTTTCAGTTGGCTCACCAGCTCCACACTCTGTCCATCAACGAAGTCTCTTGCATCTGCCCAGCCATGTCCGGACCTCGCGTTTTTAGCCCTGGTCGCCTTCACAGTTTTTGCCCGTCAGGCCTTCCACTCCGCTGGTGCTTCGCTTGGTCTTGGTTGCTGCTGCCCGGGCCCCCGGACTTCGGCACTCACACCGCGGCTCAGTTCTCAGACCGTGATGAGAAGGTCTTCTCGGGAGATGCCGCGCGCCTGAAGCGAAGGACTCCACAGCAGGTGCGCGGCAGTGCGTCTTTCCTGCCGGGCCTGCAGCTCTCATCAGCATCGCTATGGCGTCAGTTCTCTGGCGTGGACAGCGACGGGAAGACTCCGATCCTGATTGAGGCAGGTTCTGCAAACCTACAGACATATGACTGACACGTGCAGAATCGCCACGTCCTACCGAGGTTGGCGCCGCCGGCTCAGGGCCCGCCTGTGCGACTCGGCCAGAAGAGCACCCCAAAAAAGGTCAACAAGAGCACAGTGTGAGCACCCGAGGACAAGATCACCTGTGCGGATCCTCTGACGTGCCCACCAGGATTTCAGAAGACGAAGGTGCCTCTGCAGTGATCTACAACTGGAACCAGGGCTGTGTCGGGAGAGCATACTTCAGTTGCCAGGTCGATGGGCATTGCTGCTGCCACCTCAGTGCCTGAAACAGTCTAGCAAAACATGCTGGCTGACATGACGTACGTCTTCGCACCTTGGTGGAGATGGCTTCACAGTGGAACCGTCGGTTTATCAATCGAAGAGCCTGAGGCCCATACTGCATCAATCCTGACATCAAGATCGAACCCGAGGTGCGCAGTCGGAGTGCTCTACCGAACAGACCCCAACAACTCAGTGATGACAAGGTGACTGGTGCAACTGGCAAGGCAGGTGGCAAGAAGAGCACTCACTGCCCAGAGGCGGACGACTCGAATCTTTCGAATCGAGCACGGAAGATTTTTCATGTGACAGTTCCTTGTCCTTCCGATTTCATTTTTTGCTTGCTAGATCCGTATCAGGTTTGGTGTTTCCCAACGATGTGCACCAAGAAGGAGGCACGAACAGACAGAGCTTTGAAAGGTCCATGTGATCGTGCTTCGACAAAACAGATCATGCCCACCTTCGACAACGAAATGTGCTGCCCGCAGTGTCCTGAGTGATTCGCCACCAGGCCATAGAATTCGGGCTTATTCCAAGAGCCAAAGCTGACCAGCTCAGCAGCAAGATACAGGCTGCTGCAGGTAACATGCACTAACTATTGATACTCCGGCATGCCTGCGATGATCTGAGATGTGCATCTACCAGCTGACAAGTCAGAAGATTTCAGATCAAAGATTATCGAACCACATGGGTATGGAATACTTTGGTGATTATAGAAATACCGATATTCTTGATGATATCTGACGATTGAATCGAAATATGCGTATTTTTTTATCGTCGATGCATTCTCATATCTTCTTGTCATTTGTGCTTATAAAATTTATCTCTCGAGCCACTTCTCTATTCTAGTTTCATGATTTCTTGAGATCTAGCTTGCTTAATTTATATCTTTTATATCTTATTATATACTCTTCGACATCTATTATATTATTTTTAAATATTTCGAGAAAAACAGAATATACTTTCTTAGAAGATATAGAAAAAATTATTTATATATTTAATAATTTAGATATTATTTCTATATATAGATGAGATTTAGAATTAATATAATATTATAGATTATTCTATTTAATTTAGAATATTCAGAAAATGATAGATATGAGTTTAAATTCAAATATATTATTATATATATATGAGATTTTGAGGTAATAGAATTATAAGAAAATAAAGAAATTTGATTTCATATTTCGATTTCTTTATATTCTCTGATATAATTATATTCATAAATATTCGCCGCTCGATAAAATTCTCTTTTTTTTCGGATAAATTTTATTAAAATATGAATATTTATCGATAGAGATGTGTAAAATACTTTTTTATTTTGATTAAATATAAGTTTATATTAATTCGATAATCTTAATTCTTATTCGAATCTCGTTAACTAAAAGAAATAAATATAAATATAATCTTATTCAAGAATCTAATGGAATAATTATTG